ACAACAAATTATAAAGATGCAGGTAGATGGACATTGGAAGGACATCTAGTTCAAAGTGGGGAATAGGGTGTTTTAAAGCTGCGGCCCTACAGACATATGATAGTCGCCAACATGAGGAATAAGAAGCTGACCCCAAGGTACTTTGGCCCATATAAGGTATTGGAGCGGATTGGAGCAGTGGTGTACCGCTTGATATTATCACTGACCGCTACTATACATCCAATGTTCCATGTGTCACAATTGAAGAGAGTCATTGGGGATCATGTAGCTAGCTCAGAGTTACCTGTGGCACTGACAAAGGATTTTGAGGTGTTATTAGAATCATTGGAGTTTAGAGGGTTCCGACAAGGAGACAAAGGGGCTAAGGAGGTTATGATAAAATGAAAGAATTTACCGGATTATGACGCCACCTTGGAGCCATATAAGAGGGTGAAACATCATTTTCCATCTTTTCACCTTGAGGACAAGATAATTCCTTGGGAGGGGTTATTGTTAGATAGTCTAGCCGGCCTTGCACCAGGGCTTGCCCCTGCTTATTCCAGGCGGACCAAGCAAGAAACCGGCCCCCTTCTGGAGCCCATGATTTGAATGCAAATTTAAAGAGGGGCGTTTTTGGAGGGAATTAATTTTGGAAGGGGCTATTCAGTAATTATCATTATATATGTATTCTCTAAATGGGAGGGAGGGAAGGGTTAGGGTTATTTTATTGTTGTGTATTGGCTGAATTTTGTTTTCTCTTTAGGTTGCTTGGGCTCTAGCCTCATCAATAATTTTTTTGGAATGCAAGCCTAAGAGCATATTATTGAGCAACTTGACAAATATTAATCTTTTGAAATCAACTCGTGGAATAGGGTTTTTAATGCTGAGTAGTCACTAGCTCGTCTCTCAACTAAAGTTACAGAAATAAGATTCTTTTTAGTACTCAGCTAAAAAATGGTTTTGATAATATAGATTTCACTTGAGGCTTAGGTGGAAAAAAACTTTTTTGCAGCACCCTCACTAGTTAGTGCATTTAACATCACGGATGATGCTGATTCTAATTTTTTCACTCTTTCAAAAGTAGTAATTCCATTTTGGCGTCTTTTTAGATAATTCCAGCAATCCTTAAGCTTGTGCCATATATTCTTACAGTAGTGGTACATTGGCATACAAGCTTCCTCATATTTAGTTGAACATTTATTCTTCACATTCTTCATAGTTGCAAGCTGGGATTTTTATTCTATGAAAAGAGTTGTGTTTCTTGTTTTTCTTTCCTAAAGTGCTATAGTTTTTGTGCTAGCTTCAAGGACGTCAACAACTATGTGTGAACACTTTCATTAAGGCCAAATATTCTCTATAACTCAACTTTCAATCATCTTCTTTATAATTGCAAGTTGGAGATTTTATCCGGTGGAAAGAGTCATATTTCATTCCTCAAGTGCTATAGCTTTTTGCTAGCTTTAAGGATGTCAACAATCCGCAAAATAACTTTAATTATTTCAGTAGGCTGTCATAAAGCCCTATTACATATTTTACAAAATTAGAATTTTCATTCAACAACATTTCTAAAGCTGTTGCCAGCATTTTAAATTTTGTGGTGTATTCCTGTACCTTTTTTGTTTTCCTGCTTATGAATTTCATGCCTAATGGGATAAATTTGAGCTTTTAACAACCTTTTAAATTTGGTTGTAGATCGTAGTTTTTAGATTGTGAATTTCACCAAATTAAAACTCTTGAGAACAACTTCAAACGAACAAATGTAATTTTCTTTCTATTCATAAACCACAAAATACGTTTCAACAGGCTTAGAACAATTGTCTATTATCTTAAAATTAATTGTTTTGTTTTAGTAAGATAACTCCAACTTTACTTTTACTTATAGGGGGATCTTCTCTATTCTTTTCTTTATTCTACTTCTTGAGAGATTTGAAATCACTAAATGACAAGGGGGGGGGGTGAATTGTGAAAAATTTTTTCTCGATAAAAAGTAACTCTAAACAGGAGTTCTAATCTTTTTGTTATTTTTGAAATTTGACAATAAAAACTTAAACAGATTTTCTTTCACAAATTTCACCACGCAATAATTATGAAAAATTAAGTGCAAGTAAAAGTAAATGAAGATAAGGAAAAAATACACCAAGATTTTTATAGTAGTTCGGTCAAACAATGACCTATGTCCACTCCCCGGAGTCCTCCGCTCCGGGATTTTCACTAACAACTATTGTTCTCCTTTTGCCCCCCTCGGCAAGGCGGAGAAGCCTTTACAAACCTCCATTTCACCAACCCGGCATGGCGGAGTGCCAAACTCTGTTTTCACCCTCCTGGCGACGGCAGAGAACCTTCTCCTTTTTCTCCCTTCTGGAGAAGGCAGAGTACCTCGAGGTCACGGATGTAGAAGAGCCTTTCCCTTGGAGATCCTCCCACAAATTCTTCTAGGGCCACAGGAAGAACAAGATGCAGCAAGTTTGGAGCAACCGTGTGATCTCCCTCACATCTCTTCTCCCTCACAACGCTCACCTTCACCTTCCTCTCTCAAAACCCTAAAGAACTTCTCAAGAGCTCTCTCCCCTTGGAATCCCTCTCTAACCCCGTTCTCCCTCTCTGTAATTCTTACTGAAAAAGACGAGATTAATACATAAAAACAGGCTCCAAAATCCCTCTGATTTCAAAAGTAGCCATTACCGTTCGTACAGTACGATTCCACATCGTACAATACGATATTCATAAACAGACTTCGTCCTAGTACGAAGATGTACGAACAGTTAAAAAACGATTCGTACTGTCCGATATAATATCGTACGGTACGATCAACAAAATACTATTCCTACAGGACGATGGTCTGGACAATCAGATGTCGTCTCTGTTCATCGTATGGTACGATTACTATCGTACAGTACAATGCGACAAAAACCAAGAGATCATCCAGGACGATATCCGGGACGATCACACTTCGTCTATGTTCATCGTATGACACGATCTTGTTCGTACAGTACGATGTTCAAAATATAATTAGGCCTGGATTTCATGCACTAATCACGGGTTAATTTAAGTAAGTATTTAAAATAAATCGTACAGTACGAAAATGTTCGTATAGTACGAACGGTGCAAAATCACTTAAACTAAACTACGGTTAGGGTTTTGGATTTGAACATATCGTACAGTACGAATATATTTGTACAGTACGATCTATTCACAGAATCGTCCACATAGCTCGGATCGTACGGTACGAATTAAAATCGTACAGTACGATCTCCAGAGAAGAAATTCTATTACATTTTACATTTAAAAACAAACTCTCCCCCTGTGTGTGTGCATGGTTGCTCATACTCTTATGCATTTTGTGGTCTGACTCAAGAAAATAAAAATACATAAATAGAAAAATACAATATCTGACTCATACTCCTAATCTACCCGTTCTTGAGTCTTTCTTTCGTCCTGAGTCACTTGTGATCTTCCTGAAATGTTAGTACTCAAGGACAATAGCAAATAAAATAATATCCAATGAAAAGTTGTTTCAAAACAAACATTATTTGGCATCATCAAAATCTCAAACTCGGGGTCATGGGTTGCAACAAGATTGTTGTTGTCTTCTAATCGATGGCCCTATTTCTGTTTGAATAGGTGTTGGTGGAGTAGAAGTTGGTTGCACCACCTTAGCAGCAAGAGCTTCAAGGGCAACAATCATTATAGTCATTTCTTCCTTCATTGTGCCCATGTGATAATCCATTTTTTCCAGTCTCTTCTTTTATGTTGAGAAGGCCTTTAGTTGCATGTATTATCTCCTCATAGTCAGCGTCCCCAAGCTCTATATAATCAATCACCAAGGATCACCTTCTCAATCCTTAATGCATCCATGATTTTTTTTTCTATATAGAGGTAAGAACTACTGCTTTGTACCAAATTATGATATGGAATTGGATGTGTGGGCGACTTTTGGAACTTAAAGGAATTTGTTTTTGGGACTAGTGATTTGATGCAATCCTTTCAATCTGATGAAGATAATCCACAATAAGAGAAATAGTTTAGTTTTCTAGGAAACTCCTCTCATTTGATTTTCAATTTCTATCTATTGATTGCTATAGTTCCCGCAATTGCTATGGTTTCTGTTGATTGCTATTGTATCCGTAGTTGCTATAGTCATTGTCGCTATGATGCCTAGGCAGCGAGGATGAGAAAAATACTTTTGGGATAGTTAAAATTACTTTCTATTGCTAGAAAATAGCATGAATTACTTTAGAATGAAATTTATAATTTTCTAAATTAATTCTATCAAATAAGGAGCATCCTTATCCCTAACTCTACTTTTTATGAACAAACATATCCGCTGTAAACTGCACAAAAGAAGAAAATTCAATTTAATAAATTATCCAAAATAAAATTTCTGGTATTCTTATTTTGTTGTCCTGATAAATATCCAATGCTCCAAATTTTCTGCATGATGATCTTGCTCAACAGCCATGTAATTGATAATAGATTTTTACCTATATACATTTGATAACTTGATCTTTCTATCAGACTTTGTGATATGAAAATTTCTTTCAGTAAGATCTCAAAATCAGCTGATGAATTTGAAAGTATGAGATCTAGTATAAAATACTTTGCATGAAAGAATATCCTTACGCATGGCCTGACCCCAGTCGATTAACCTTTGATTAAAAAAAAAGAAGCCTTTTCAGTTAATAATATGCAAAGATTTACTATAGTTTTCAAAAATCAGTTGCTAAATTTGAGGAAAATAAAGAACTTATTATGTACAGCATAATGATAAAAAAACTTAAAGAGTAGTCATGAAAACTCTTCCAAATCATGCTGATGACTTATTCCTTCATTTTCTCTCAGTTTTATTTTTTCACGTCGCAAGTCCAAGAATTCTATTTTGCTGCATAAGTCCTTATAAAGTAAAAAAATTCATGCTTCTTTTACTCCATGAAAACTTTTTGTTAATGCTGGTAGAGCCGGATTACTGTAAATGCTAAATTTCATTTTCTTATACTAATGTTTTCATTATTTATCCTTGACAGCCATGTTGACAGTCAATGATGATGAATTCTGGGAGGGAGTTTCCCCAGTTGAATTTGGTTCTCTACCTGCACTCCAAGATGCTGTTACTGTTGTTGGTTACCCGATTGGAGGAGACACAATCTCTGTTACTAGTGGTGTTGTGTCACGTATGGAAATCTTATCATATGTTCATGGCTCAACTGAGTTATTGGGCTTGCAGGTTAAGCTTCTGTGCTATGGTTTTTGTTATACTAGCAGACCCCTAAGATTTAAGGTTCATTACTTACAGGTCAACAATTTTTAAATTTTTTTTTTCTTGGATCTTAAGCTGTTTTTTTGACTGTATTGCGTCTGTCTTTCAAATTTCATTAATGAAATTTAAAATGATTGAAATACCCTATATGATGTATCGATGTTTCCAGGTGGCATAAGTTTTTTATATTTTATCATATGGGTCCTCTGATCCTTAATCTACTTTTACATCACTCCCATTCTTGCTACCTGCAGATCAAAAGTTTGGTTGGAGTGGGAAAAGGGTGGTTGTGGTCACTCTATTTTCCATTCCTCTTGTCACCTATCTCTTACAACTCTATCTTTGCCTCTCCTTATCTCTTTAAAGAGGACGGGGTGGTAGAACATCCTCCAAAACATCTACCACTTTGTCCCCTGGCCCTCCTCTCTTCCCCCTACCTAGTTCAGTAAGCCACCTCAAACTTTGATTGGCTTGGGGAAGGGTTGCTAGTACTCTCTCTCTCTCTCTCTCTCTCTCTCTCTCTCTCTCTCTCTCTCCTTGTCATTCTCTCTCTAGGTGGTTGACATATCTTCCCTCTCCCTCTCCCTCCCCCCTTCCCTCCCTCGATCTAAATCTGGTGTTATTCATTCATCGAAGGTTATTTTGGTATAATGCTGGAATCCATATTAGCATTCACTTAAGTCTTACATTAAAAAAACTATTGATATTACTGTTTACGGACCTTATCAGTTATCAAAATCCAATATCTATGGCAGAAAGGTTAGATCAAATGTGCTGAAGGCCATACTATAAAATTGAGATTTTGTGGACACTACAAGTAATGTAGCACAAATCTCAGAGGCGTTGGAAGTAATTGTGTTCTTTTCACCGTAATCCTCCATATGCTTGTTTAGTTCACATTTAAGCAGTTTGGAAGCATTTTTTTGTTGTTTACTCCTAAAAAATCTTTCATCTTTTTATTTGGTTACAGATAGATGCTGCCATAAACTCTGGAAATTCTGGTGGCCCTGCCTTAAATGATAAGGGCAAATGTGTTGGTATAGCATTTCAATCCCTTAAACATGAAGATGTGGAAAATATTGGCTATGTTATCCCAACTCCTGTAATTCTGCATTTCATCAATGATTATGAAAAGTCAAGTGAATATACAGGTATTGCCCAATTAATACTAAAAAGTTTAATACATTATGTTTTTATTTATACGGCCATTTTATTTTTCTTCTCTGCTATTGTTTTCTTGTTATAAGAACTTTATGTTCTTATAAACAATTACCTACAAATTTAATGAATGCTATTGTGCATTACCATTCAATTTTTGTAGTATTGTGCAATTTTGCATAGGACACAGGAAACGTATTTTTACTGTGCATTTGGGCGTCCCCTGGAATCCTTTAAGAAATTGTGTTAATGCTAGGGCGTCCCCTGGAAGCGACGCGCTGTATGGCCTGAATACAGTGACAAGTGTGCAAGGTCCGCTGCACCGGCGCCCGGGTGCAGTGTTAAATAGGCAAGGGTTCCCACATCAGGGATGGATGTGGGCAAAGAAGCTAGTCCATAAAATTAAAATTAGGATAGGAACTTGGAATATAGGTTCCCTTACAGGAAAATTAATGGAATTAATAGACATTATGATTCATAGTAAGTTAAATATTTTGTGCATTAAGGAAGCTAAATGGGTTGGAGAGAAGGCTAAGGAAATTGATAGTTTAGGATTTAAACTTTGGTATTCGGGTAGGAGTCTTACTAGAAATGGTGTAGGTGTTATTATAGATAAGAGTTTAAAGGATAATGTTATAAAAATTAATAGGATTGGAGATAGAATTTTAGCTTTAAAGATTGTTGTTGATGATAAGATTGTTAATATTATAAGTGCTTATGCTCCTCAAGTATGTTTGGATATGAGTTCTAAATTAAATTTTTGGAATGACTTAGAAGAATTAATACAAAATATACCTCTTGAAATAAGAGTTTTTATTGGAAGAGATTTAAATGGACATGTTGGTAGAGAGGTAGATGATTTTAAAAGCATTCATGGTGGACATGGATTTGGAACGACGAATGAAGGTGGCAAGACCATATTAGATTTTTGTTTAGCTTATAATTTTTTAATTGCTAATACCTTATTTAAGAAAAGAAATGAGCATCTCATCACTTATAAAAATGGATATAATACAACCCAGATTGACTATTTTCTTATTAGAAAATTAAACCGTTTAGATTGCAAAGATTGTAAAGTTATTCCGAGTGAAAGTTTATGTACCCAACATCAATTATTAGTTTTGGACTTCAAGATAAATGGGCATAAAATAAAAAATAAAGTAAAACAATTTTCTAGGATTAGATGGGGGCATTTAAAGAATATTAACAAAAATATTTTTGGAAATAAGATTTTAGATCTTAAGATTTTGTCTGTGCATGAGGATGCTAATATTATGTGGGAAAAAGTGGCTAGTGATATTAAGAATATTGCAAAAGATGTCCTTGGAGTATCAAAGGGAAAAGCTCCCAATAGTAAAAATAGTTGGTGGTGGAATCCTAATGTGCAAGAAAAAATTAAAAATAAGAAGCTTTGTTATAAAAATTGGTTTAATTTTAAAAATTCTGATAATTGAGAAATATATAAAGTTGCTCGTAAGGATGCTAAGAAAGCCATATGCGATGCAAAGACATTAGCTTTTAGTGATTTATATAATAGATTAGATACTAAAGAGGGAGAAAGATATATCTATAAGTTAGCCAAACAAAGAGATAGGAGTAGTAAGGATTTAGTTCAAGTGAAGTGTATTAAAGATGAAGATCAAAAAATACTTTTCTTAGAAGATGATATTCAACAAAGATGGATGAGATATTTTGCTAAACTTTTTAATGAAGAGTGTGAAAATAAAATTGACTATAGTGACCTTAGCACCCTAAATGAAAATAAAGATTTCTATTTTTATCGGCGTATTAGTAAAACTGAAGTTAGAGAGGCTTTAAAGAAAATAAAGGGTGGAAAAGCTGTTGGACCTGATGATATTCCAATAGAGGTGTGGAAATGCTTAGGAGATGAAGGAATTTCATGGCTTACTAAACTTTTTAATACTATTTTGAAGACTAAAAAGATGCCAGATGAGTGGAGAATGAGTGTGTTAATTCCTATTTTTAAGAATAAAGGTGATGCACAAGATTGTGCGAATTATAGAGGTATTAAGTTAATGTGTCATACTTTAAAACTATGGGAGCGAGTTATGGAGCATAGGTTGCGGCGTGATACTAATGTTTCTCAAAATCAATTTGGATTCATGCCGGGTAGGTCGACTATGGAAGCCATACATTTATTAAGAGGTTTGATGGAGAAATATAGAGAAAATAAGGAGGATCTACATATGATATTTATTGATTTAGAAAAAGCATATGATAAAGTTCCAAGAGAAGTGCTATGGAGAGTTCTTGAAAAGAAAGGAGTCAATAATGCTTATATTCAAATCATTAAAGATATGTATGCAGGAGCTATTACATGTGTTCAAACACAAGGTGGATTGACCAAGTATTTCCCTATTTCGGTTGGGTTACATCAAGGATCAGCCTTAAGCCCATATCTTTTTGCTTTAGTCATGGATGTTCTCACTAGACATTTGCAAGAGGATGTACCTTGGTGTATGCTTTTTGCTGATGATATTCTTCTTGTTGATAAGACTAGAGAGGGAGTTGAAGGTAAACTTGAATTATGGAGGTCAACCTTAGAGTCTAAAGGTTTTCGCTTGAGTAGATCTAAAACGGAATATATGGAGTGTAATTTTAGTAGTAATAGACCTAGTGAGGGGATTGTGACTTTGGGCGATCAAGTCATTAATAAGAGTACACGTTTTAGATATCTTGGATCTATTGTTCAGAGTGATGGTGAAATAGATGGGGATATTATCAGCAGAATTCAAGTTGGATGGTTAAAGTGGAGGAATGCATCGGGCTTGTTATGTGATAGAAATGTACCACTCAAACTTAACGGAAAATTCTATAAGATAGTAGTGAGGCCTGCAATGCTTTATGGTGCCGAATGTTGGCCATTAAAAGAGAAGCATAATACTAAGTTAAGTGTGGCAGAGATGAGGATGCTCAGGTGGATGAGTGGCTTTACTCTTAGAGATAGGATACGAAATGAGCATATACGTGAAAAGGTTGGGGTAGCTCCAGTAGAAGATAATATTAGAGAGAGTCGCCTTAGATGGTTTGGTCACATAAAACGGCGGCCTTCCGATGACCCGGTTAGGAGAGTAGAGGTATTAGATTTGACTTATGTTAAGAAAGGTAGGGGTAGACCTAAAAAGTCTTGGTTAGAAAATATTAGGAATGACCTTTCTTTATTAGATTTAAACGAGAATTTGACTTTTAATAGGTCACAATGGAGAAAAAGGATTCATGTAGCCGACCCCACGTAGTGGGATAAAGGCTTGATGTTGTTGTTGTTGTATTTGCAAAATTTTCGGACTATGTTTATGGCAGGATTTGAGTTGATGCAAAACACGTTTTTTTTTTCTTGTTTTTTTGACCAAATTGGACTAAAAGAATCAATAAACGCTTGCTGAGGTGCCATGACCTGGATTTATGTTTTATGCTACTGATCCATTTATTTATGCATATTGCATTAAGTATTTTAGCAATGTTTCTGAAATGATTTGATGCAGGTGCCTTTAAATTATTTATTTCTCTGTTATTCTTGGAGGCTTGGAGCAAGATGGACTGCTGTCTTCCTAACTAGATAATCTCTTGCCTCTAGGTTTTCCTATACTTGGGATTGAGTGGCAAAAGATGGAAAACCCTGACCTGCGCAAGGCGATGGGAATGATGCCTGACCAGAAGGGTGTTCGTGTTCGTAGAGTAGAGCCTACAGCACCAGAGTCAGAGTTTTTGAAACAATCTGACATTATTCTGAGCTTTGATGGAGTTGACATTGCTAATGATGGAACTGGTAAGTGACTACATGTGATGTGTTATTTATTTGCTTTCTTTGTTGAACTAAATTTATCTTTTCGTTTAGTCGCTTCTTTATGATGCACTATTGCTATTGAACCCAAAATGTTGATATAATTGCTTATTTATCTTTTGTTTGAATTCATGAAGTTTTATAAAGGTTGTTTTGCATTAATTTATCATATTACATCATATGAATAATAAGGGTTTCAAGATACCATTTTTCTTTTATTTTACTGATCACATGGATATTATGCCTTCACGAGTCTTTGCCATCATTCTATGCAGGCTAGAAATTATAATTAGTATATCTTTTGGCTGTTTTCCTTATGTTTCATTCACCTTCAGTTTGCTGGATGTGTTTCAATGTTCTAGTACTGACGTTTAGAAATTGGATCTTTTTTACTTGTTCATCAACCTCATCGCAATATCTGAATTTGCATTGTGAAATCCTTCTTCCCAATTAATTTACATGTGTTTAGTTTGATTTTAATTCTGGTTTAGAGGTAGTTTGGTTAGATGAAAAGGAAATGCATAATAAAATTGTATAAATTGTAAAAGAAATGTAGTGTATTTGAAATGTTTGAGTTCTTTGGATGATTGTAAATTAAATGCAAGTGATTTTTTTTGTTTGGTTTTAAGCAAAATGAATACAATGTAAAGCCTAACTGATGTGTTGGCCAGCTAGAGACGGCGACAACTAGGTGACTAGTGGTGGAGGCAGCTCTTGTTGGTGGTAGTGTTAGCGAGTAGGAAGTGGCAGGCATTGGCTGGCGTTGAGCGGCAAGCGGTGGCTTGTAGTTGTAATGATAGAATTTTTAAATGCATTTGGAAATTAGTGTAATATAATTGTTTTCAAATACATCAAATTAGAAGTAGAGAGTGAATTCCAAATACTTTAAAATTTTACTTTGCATTTCATTTACTTCAGATGCTAGATTAGTGTGTTGGTTCATATTTTTAAGACTAAAGATGATACACAAGAATGTGTGAATTATATAAGAATTAAGTTAATTAGTCATACATTTAGATTATGGGGGAGAGTTATTGAGCATAGGATACGACACGGTACTAATATTTCTTAAAATCAATTTGGATTCATGTTGGGTAGGCCTACTATGGAAGCTATACATTTATTAAGAGGTTTGATGGAGAAGTATAGAGAGAATAAGGGTGATCTAACTATGATATTTATTGATTTAATGAAAGCATATGATAAAGTTTCAAGAGAAGTGCTTTAGAGAGTTCTAGAAATGAAATGAGTAAATAATACTTATTTTCAAGTTATTAAGGATATGTATGCAGGAGCTGTTACTTATGTAAACCACCAAGTATTTTCCTATTTCAATTGGATTACATGAAGGATCAGCTTTAAGCTCATATCTTTTTGCTTTAGTCATGAATGTTCTTACTATACATTTGCAAGAGGATGTGCCCTGATGTATGCTTTTTGTTTATGATATTTTTCTTATTGATAAGACTAGAAAGGGAGTTGAGGAAAACTTGAATTATTGGGGTAATCTTCGAGTCTAAAAGTTTTTATTTGAGTAGATCTAAAATCAAATACATGGAGTGTAATTTTAGTGATAATAGATCTAGTGAGAAAATTGTGACTTTGGGTAGTGGTGGATTGAGGGGCCCACGGGGGCACGTGCCTCCCTTATTAAATTGTGAAACGAGGACTCTGCTTCGTATTCGCCCTCCCCAAGGAAAAAAAAAAACTTAATTTTCTATGCCTGCTCCAGTGATTTGCCTCCCAGTGTTCGTATTCGACAGACGATAAGGATGACTCAGCACTCGCAACCTTGGTTGCTCCTCCGCATTCGCCTGCACTTTTCGTGATTTGCCTCCCACTTGGCCTGTTCGACGGACGAAGGGACGACCCGACTGCAGCCCTATTCAGTTGTTCCTCCGCTCGAACTCGAAGCCGTGAATACTTGAACTGATCTATATTCGCTCATTTTGTTCGGCCTCCTCTTCAGACTTCAGGTAATCTTAAAATTTTCCTGTTTGTGGTACACGTTTATATTTTCTTCCATTGCATTCTTGATCGATTTTATAAGTTATTCATGCACTAGTGTTTGCATTCTTTCTTCCACTGCATTCTTGTCGAATGTCAATCTTATGAGTTTTCATGTCGATCTTATGTGTTAAACACATGACTTATAATTTATAAAGATCTTGATCGGTTGACCTTGTGAAATAATAATTAAGTTTTTGTTATGGAGAAATATTTTAAGAAGGTTTCACAGAGTTCACATGAGACAAACAAAGAAAACGAGGAGCAAAATTGAAAAAAGAATTCACATGAAAATTGAATCATCAAGAAATCTAGAAGTATATTTAGAGAACTTTTAATTTGATCATGGTTTGCGAATTCCTATATATGAATTTTCTCTTAATATTCTAGGTCAAGTTCGTCGGTCGTAATTGCGAAGAGGTCCATTCCAACCTTGTATTCATGAATTTCCTAAAACTAAATTTGGGGCAAAGGATAGACGGTTAAATGCTGTGTGATTTTATAAATATTCTAATTGGTTAGAATACAACATATGCAAAGGCAAGGCATACTATTTATATTGTTATGTATTTAAAGTATCATGTAGAGGAAATGAGGATGACGATGAATTCAATAATAATGAATTTTCAAATTTGATAAATCAAATAGATTTAAACTTCATGTTGGGGGTCATAATAGTGCGCACAATAATGTACGACGAAACTGTGAAATCTTAATGAAGCAAATTCAATATATTGGTTTTGTCTTTCATAAGCAATCTGATTATGCTACAGCTGCATATTGTACGCGTCTAAATGCATCGATTGATTGTGTACGTTTTCTTTTAAGCCAAGACTAGCTTTTAGAGCTCATGATGAGTCTGACACATCCAGAAATCAAGGAAATTTTTTTCTACTGTTGCAAATTTTATCTAAACATAACAATGAGATAAATAATGTGGTGCTAAAAATGCTCAAAAAAAATTTAAAGTTAACTGCACCAGATATTCAAAAGGATATCACTAGAGCTACATCGATTGCCATCATATATTTCATAAAGAAAAAATGGTAGAAAATTACTTCTCTATTTTGGTTAATGAAGCATGCGACATTTCCTCATAAGTGCAAATGACTATTGTGGTTCGATTTGTTAACAAAAAAGTTTAGATGATTGAACGTTTTATAGGCATTATTCATATTCCAGATACGACGACTAGAAGTCTCAAAAGATCTATTGAAGAATTCCTTTCAACTTATGATTTAAGTGAATCCAAATTGCGTGGTCAAGGATATGATGGAGCAAACAATATGAGCCGTGAGTTTAATGGGTTAAAGACATTGTTTCTCACTGAGTATAAAGCAACAAATTACATTCATTGCTTCTCACACCAACTCCATTTAGCCTTAATATCTGTTGCAAAAAATCATGTTCAAATTGCTCTCTTATTCACAGTAATTTCAAATATGATGAATATTGTTGGGGTTTATTAGAAGTGTCGTGACCAACTTCGAGATAAACAACTGGAGAGGACTTTAATGGAATTACAGATTGTAGAATTAGTAACTGTCCAAGGGTTGAATCAAGAAATAACTCTGAGGCGATCAGGTGATACACGATGGGGATGACACTATGACTCAATTATAAGATTGATAAATTCATCAAAAAAACTAGTTCACGATTTTTGTTCTTTGGGGAGTCTTTCACCTCTGAAAAGTTGCATATGGTATCTTGGGACAAAATTTGTCTGCCTGAACAAAAAGGTGGGTTGGGCATCCCTTAGATTAATGCTCTACAATTTGCATTCAATTGTGCTGTTATTATTAGGATGTATAACAGCGCCTCCCCTTTATCCTCATGGCTTTTAAACAAATTCAAATCTCCTTGGAGGCCCCCCCCCCTCTCACTGCTTTTAAATTATGAAAATCTATTTGTAAAACTGCTGTGGATGCAAAATCTTGCTTTTAGTTCAAAATTACTCAAGATGGTCCTTTTTCTCTGAAATGGGATCACTGGTGTTACAATGTCACATTAGATGATTATATGGGGGAAGTTTTTCCTGAGTCACTTCCTGATTATTCCCTGAACACCATTTTTTCGCGATCCCATTGGGTTTTACCTGAGATTTTTCTAAGGCAGTTGAGAAATTTATTTGGGAATTTCACTGAGATTGAATGTGCTGGGCCTTGTTTGCTTTGGAAAAACAAGAATATTTACAGATTCAATAACTACATCGCTGAGTATTACAATGAGTATACCAGCTGTAGTTGCCACAAGTTGGTATGGCATAAAAGGCATATTCTAAAGCACTCTGTTTTTGTGTGGCTTGCTATGGTGGGAGGTTTAAAGACTGCAAATACACTTCTTCTTAGGAACATTCATGTTACGGTTATATGCAGTTTGTGTAATTCATATGAGGAATCAGTTTCTCACCTGTTCTTTGAGTGTCCCTACTCTTTCACTATTTTGACTGCTCTGATTCCTAGAGCGTGGGGTTTTTTACACAGGCCGTCGGTTTTGCAACTTTCGGTCTGGTTGAATGGTGAATTTAAAGGTTTTTCTGAGATTAAAAATTTCTACAAGATGGTGATTTGTTGTGTTATATATCACATTTGGAAAGAGAGAAATAATAGGAGATTTGAGAATATTATACAAAGTAATTCCTCTCTTCTGTTATGCATTAAGAGAGTGGTGTTTAAGAAAGTTTCTAAGTGGAAGAGCTCTTGGGAATTGATGGAAAAATTATAAGTTGCCTAGATTCTGCATTCAGGACCCTTTGCCCCTCTAATTTGTGTGCAATTTTATGTCAAGCTTGGACAATGATGAAGCTCCATTTGCAGGCCCCTTGGACGGCCTTCGGGCAACCAGGGATCGAGACCGTCCTGTTAATGCTGTTGGTAATATCTGAGTCTAGGCTTGAGTGTTAAGGAGCTTGCTCTTTTATCTGGTGTTTGGTTTTACCTTCTTCCCTTTTGTGTAGCCTGTATTTGCTGATGTTGCTGCTGTTTTTTTTTTTGAGCTCGCTGGAGCTTTTGGCCTAATTTTGGTTGGCCAGTTTTGGTGTTTTTTCTTTCATTCCATTTTGTAATATTTGCTTCTATTTTACGGGCTAAGCCCAAATTTTCCAAAAAAAAAAAAAACAATGTTCTCCTCAATTATTGATATTCTGGAAGTGGTTGTTGAAGATGGTATAAGTTTTGAACAAAAAGGTGAGGCATTCACATTATTAGGGACAATGCAATCATTCGAATTTTCATTCTTCTTACTGTTAATGAATGATATACTTTGTATAACTATTGAGTTGTAACAAGCTTTGCAAAGAAAAGAACATGACATTGTAAATGCTATGTCTTTGGTTCAAATATGTAAAAATAGACTGCAAGATATAAGAGATAATAAATGGGAAGAGTTCATCATCAAACTAACTTTTTTTTGTGAGCAACGCAAAATAGATATTCCTCACATGAATGACAGATGGGTTACTCTGGGACTGCCTCATCGTAGAGCTTAAGACATGACAAATTTACATCTCTTTCGAGTTGAAATTTTCTACATAGTTGTTGATATGCAACTTCAAGAGTTAAATAATCATTTCACAGAGATGAATACTAAGTTAATTCTAACGATTGCCTGTTTGAGTCCAAATAATTCTTTTTGTGCATTTAGTAAAGACATTAATTTAAATGACACATCTTTATCCATGTGATTTTACTCTTGTTGAATTAGAAATTCTAGATAATCAGTTGCAAACTTATATCATGGATATGTAGTTAGATCCACATTTTTCATTGTTAAAAGATATTTGATGCTTTGCTGAGACAATGATATAGAACAAGAAGGATATTTTATATCTTCTTATTTTCAAGATATTAAAACTTGCTTTAGTTTTCGAGTTGCAACATCAGGAGTAAAAAGAGTATTTTCTGCAATGACTATCATTAAAACTTGATTGCGAAATAGGATTGAAGATCAGTGGATGAATGATACTTTACTCGCATATATTAAGAAAGAAATATTGAGTGGTATTGATAATGCTGTAATTGTTAATCTTTTTCAAAATATGAAGAGCAATCGCTATAAATTGTAAGTGTTTTCCATCTTATATTTAGTATTTAATCTTCTAATTTTTTTAAAAACTGACTATGCCAGTTCCAAGCCCGGATGAAAAAGGTTGAGGATTTTTTTTTTTGAATTTGTGTCCCCTCTAAAATTATTTCTGGCTTCGCCACTGACTTTATGCGATCAAGTCATTAAAAAGAGTACACATTTTAGATATCTCGTGTCTATTATTCAAAGTGATATTGAAATAGATGGATATATTATTGGTAGAATTCAAGTTGGGAGGTTGAAGTGGAGGAATGCATCGGGTCTATTGTGTGATAGAAAAGTACCTGTCAAATTTAAGGGAAAATTCTATAAGATGGTGGTGAGACTTGCAATGCTCTATGATTCAGAATGTTGGCCTTTAAAGAGAAGCATAAAATTAAGTGAAATGTTCATATATGAGGATGCTTAGCTGGGTGAGTGGCTTCACTTTTAGAGACAAAATACGAGACATGTATTTAGGTGAAAAGGTTGGAGTAGCTCCAGTGGAAAATAAGATTAGAGAGAGTAGCCTTAGATGGCTTGGTTGCATAAAACGTCAGCCTTCCGATGACCCGATTAAGAGATTAGATGCATTAGATTTGACCTATGTTAAGAAAGGCGGACGTAGACCTAAAAAGTCCTGGTTAGAAAGTAATAGAAACAATCTTTTTTTTCTTAGTTTTAAATGAGAATTTGACTCTTAACTGGACACAATGGAGAAAAATGGTTCATGTAGCCGACCTCACGGAGTGAGATAAAGGTTTGATGTTGTTATTATTATTTTATTTCATTTACTTCAGAACAACACTAAAATTTTTAAAAATCATTGCATTTGGAATATTTTAGTCCTGTTTGACTTTAAACCAAACAACTCAGCTCATATTTTCAATTGCTTCAAAGATGTCATGTTTGTCGAAGCTTTTTTCTCCTGGTTAGTCTCTCTTAAATTACCGCACGCATTTGATAATTCTTTGATTTTCCTGCGTAAAAAAAGTATTGTCTAGTTAACCCCCAGATAGAAATTTAAAGAATAATCTGTGATTTTTTTCGATAAAAGCTGAATCAACAGTATCAGTTAATTTACTTGTTTTAAAACTATCATAGACTCTAATACAGAACTAGCAAAATCAGATGGCCCCTCGTGCTGCATTAATTAAATAAATCATTCATATTTATGGAATGGCTTTTATGATATGGAAAATTTAAATGTCTCTGCTGTTATTTTTCATCTTTGGAGATGCCATGTTGCTTGTTCAATAATTTTACGCAACAGCTATAAATAAAGGTTCATCTTAGGTCTATCCCTACTTCATTTTCTATGTACGCTAGCCTGTTTGAAGTTTGTGTGAGTATAATTTGGCGACAGAATGTTTACCTCAAGGTTTTCCTAGGATACCAAGAAGGATGACATCCTGTGTGATGCTTATTACACGTATAGGTAAGCATGTTTTTCCTGCTTCTGCTGCTACATATTTTTATGGAGATTTTTTGTGTAATTCAACTCAATATTGGCCTCTGAGGGAGAAAACCCTGGAGCGAACTTGGGCTTTGGATGGTATTTCTCACTTGCGCTATTGATATTTCAAACTATAGTTGTAATTATGTTGTCATGCACTCATGCCCAAGGTTGTGAAAATCTGACCGGAAGAAGGAGAGGTTCACGGTTCAGTCGAACTGGGGTTGAACTGGATGACGTAATAAATAATAATATTATTAAAAATTAATAAAATTAACATAATATAATATAAATATATGAGCATTTAATAATATTTATTAAATTTTAAAAAATAATAGTAAAAAATTATAAATATAAATATCATTCAAGAATAATGTATTTCTAGATTTATAATTAAATATATTTATAAAAATAATATTTAATATAATATGTATTATGGTGTAATTAATCATCATATTTAATAAAGATATTTTAAAAAATTAAAATAATTTAATAAACTAAAATATATTGTTTAAAGTTTAATTAAAACAAAAATAATTTTTTTTATAGAACTGGTCAGTTCTTGCCAACCTAGACTGGTTTAGCGGTTCACCAGATTGAACTGGCGATTCGGTTTGATGCCAAACCAGTTTTATAAGTTGGATTGGACAGGCCAACTGACCGGTTAACGGTTGAACTGGTTGAACCGGCCGGTCCGGTCCTTTTTTCAAAACATTGGTCATGCCAGTTAACTTCTTTTCTCTTCCTCTTATATCATGTTTTAGACTTTGTTTCCTTAACATGCGTATTAAGCATAAGTTTTTAATGAGGTTACAATCAATTAAACCCATTTGCTTCCTAAACTAAGTTTGAAACAAATGTCTGATATCTATTTATTCTGGAATTTCAGTGTTTTCTATTTTTCATGAAACACTACTCCGATTTTGTATTATAATACAGTTACTTGTATCATAAAGTTGAAGAAACTCTGCGAGAAGATTGAGAGCTTGTTAAATAGCAATGACAGCATACTACATCCATGTTTCTATCCTAAAAAAATACTGTGAAATACATAGATGTCTGACTCATTTTTTGTTGTGATCTTTAGTTCCTTTCAGGCATGGTGAACGCATCGGGTTTAGTTACCTTGTTTCTCAGAAGTATACTGGAGAGACTGCTCTAATCAAAGTATTACGCAATGCTAAGGTTCATGAGTTTAATATAAGACTTGCAACCCACAAGAAGCTTGTTCCAGCTCACATTAAGGGCAGGCCTCCATCATATTACATAATTGCTGGATTTGTTTTCACTGCCATATCTGTTCCATATCTTCGTTCTGAGGTGCCCATTTTACTTAATAAGCTTATCCTTTTCATTTATTTATTTTGTTGTTGGAACATTAGAAATAGATTCCGCATCTGTACAGAAAATCAAATTGATCCCTTAAAATAGTCCCTGATCATATAAAAGTATAATTTTGGTCCCTTGACTCTTTAAACAATTGCTAAATTAGTCATTATGTGAGACATTTAGGCCCTTATTTAAAAAATCAATGGATTAAAATGAGACTTTTAAAAAGCCGGAGATCATTTTAATCCCCCACCCCTAAGAAAAAAAAAAAAAAAAAAAACCATTTTGATCATTATCTTTATATCTGCAGGACTGCATTTGTAACTTAATAATTTTTGTTTGTTTGAGTTAATGAGTTAATCTCTCTTATTTCAATAGCTAATTTTGAGATATTAAGAAACTTTTGGCTGCAAATGATTTTTGTCTATTGCTTTTAGTATGCTGTGTTTATTTTAGTATGCTGTGTTTGTTTTAGTATGCTGTGTTTATTTTAGTATGCTGAAATGTACCCCTCAAACTTAAGGGAAAATTCTATAAGATGGTAGTGAGGCCTGCAATGCTTTATGGTGCCGAATGTTGGCCATTAAAAGAGAAGCATAATACTAAGTTAAGTGTGGCAGAGATGAGGATGCTCAGGTGGATGAGTGGCTTTACCCTTAGAGATAGGATACGAAATGAGCATATACTTGGAATGGTTGGAGTAGCTCCAGTAGAAGATAAGATTAGAGAGAGTCGCCTTAGATGGTTTGGTCACATAAAACGGCGGCCTTCCGATGACCCGGTTAGGAGAGTAGAGGTATTAGATTTGACTTATGTTAAGAAAGGTAGGGGTAGACCTAAAAAGACTTGGTTAGAAAATATTAGGAATGACATTTCTTTATTAGATTTAAACAAGAATTTGACTTTTAATAGGACACAATGGAGAAAAAGGATTCATGTAGCCGACCACCACGTAGTGGGATAAAGGCTTAATGTTGTTGTTGTTGCTGCTTTTAGTATGCTTTGTTTCGAGATTCTGTACTTTCCAACTCTTTTTATACTTTCTCAATTCTCTGTCCTGGATCTTCTCCTTGAAAGTTAAACTGACCATTATGCCTTTCAGGTGTATTGCTACAACCTGTGCACTTTACATTAATTGCATGTTGATGTAGGCAAAGGGGGGTCAACTGAAACCCAAAATAAGTTGGTTTTAACTTCTCTTGAGCTTACTAGCTCAATTAATTTTGAGCTGGAATTTAGCTCATTTATGAGCTGGTCTTTAGTTCATTTATTGAACTAAGGGTTAGCTCATTATTAGCTAAGTTTAAGTTCAATAGTTATCTTATTTATAGTTTTATGTCTTAAATTTAAGTTTGTCTCTTGGGATTCCAAAATGGCTTTTGGAATCCCGAGGATGTTTGTTTTCCCGTGCCATGGCTCCTTGGCTTCCACGGGTTGGCTGTTTCCATGCATTGGCTCCTTGGTTCCCACGGTGGGTTGCTGGTCTTCCGTGCTGGGTGGCTTTTCCTGTGCCTGGTGCCTCAGTTCCGTGCGGGCCTCTTGGGTTTCCGCGGCTGCCTTTTCGGTTCCTGGCTGGGCTACTTCCCGTGGCTTTTGGGGAGCTTTTCCATGGCTTTGGTGCTTTGTTTTTTGGAGTTGACTGTTGGTTTTTCATATTCCCTATTTAGTAAGCTTTTTAATTAATGTTTATGGCTGTTTGTATCCCCCTTTCATACCTATAAATATGAGGGGTTTTGTAATGTTTTTTAAAAAGTGAAAAGTTATTTTTGGAAAAGAAATCCTTGGGATTTTCTTGGAGAAGCTTACGAGCTTTGTCCACCTTCTTCTTCCACCTGGAAATCTTGCGAGCTCTTTCCACCCTTCTTCTCGGCTTCTAATCTCTTTCGTCTCTCCGCAAGTTTACACCCCACCTGTATCCTTCGTCTCTTAAGTAAAGCAAGTTTAGGGTGTCTTGGTCGAGTTGAATTTGTAAATTTCTTTTTAATTTGAAATGTAAGAGTTTGTTCTTCCTATTATCTAGTAAGTGTGTCCTTATAATTAGTTAAGTGTGTTCATTTTATGTCGTAAAAGGATCCCTTCCTTTTCTTTTAGGTCGGGTGGTGTATCTCTTTTGTGGGCAGAGGTCCTCGGGTCCCCCCATCCCCCAGATTTTTGCCCGCATCACATGTATCTTTCTTGTGTTCGGTTCTTGATGTGTGTGCCACTTGTAATTAAGAAATTCCAATGTTTCTGAGCATGCCAGATTGAATTTCACATCTTTCTAAAAAAAATATTTTTCTAAAGTTCTTTTATATGTATTTCTCTAGTTTATAAGTGAAGGTCAGATTAAACACCAATAGAAATGTTGTGCAGTGCTTTGCAAGGGGTTCTGGTTCTATGCTATATCTAGAGCTGAACTTCTTAGGCTTATCCTGTTATACTTTCTTTTATCCCTGTTCGTTATGGTTTGCCTGGAAATAATGTTCATGTTTTTACCTATATCTACCTTTCTGCAGCAGTCTGGAATTCAATGTGAGGCTTCAAAACCTCTTGTCAATTCAGCAGCCAAACATTCTACTATTGCCTCTAATTAATGGACACTACCAGATTGGAAGAGGCTTTAATGGGCGAAGAGGACTAAACATGTTTTTGAATGCAGGATTTACTAAAATGAAGATCCAATTGTTATCTTGTTCAAGTTTAGCTTAAAATGCAATATTCAAGATAACAAAATTTAGATCCTAGCCTATGCGTAGTTCAATTATTCTTTTGGCAAGATTTGACCTACCATTCTGTCCGTTCTGATCGTTGTCTTGCATATGTAGGTGAATTTAAGAATATAAGCAGTTATATAAATTAGAATAAATAAGTACGTGAATGAGCAAGGCAAGCCTATTAGTAAATACTTGCACTGTAGGTAAGTCTGCAGGAAGGCAATTTATAGATGATGAGATCATAAAAATCAATCCTTAAGAGCATAAAGGTAGATACATTTGTATCTATGGCAAAGAGGCGTAAAACCAAATTTTATGATGATTTGAATCTGCATCAAGAATATATTAAACAAAACAAAATTCTCGCTGTTCATAGAAGCTGATATATGGTCACTTTTACTGGTTCATTTCAATTAAATAAAATGAATATATTTTCAAATTCTTAGAATCTGGCATGTTGTTTACTGGTTGGTCTGAATTCTCCAAAGCTTCATAAATCGTATAGCACTCTTCTTGCCCTTTCTTTGAGAATGCCTGGAAAGAAAAATCAGTTAATGGATTTTCTATCCGTGTAACAGGGATTTTCTACAATAGTACTAAATAGTGAGTACGTCTGTATAGTATAATCCTCTTTCACTTAAACTGTGTTTAACTAGACAATGAGCATCTATTGTACTTTGGAAGCATTGCTATATAAGGAAAAAATGATCAAAATGGTTCCTTGACTATGAAAATCAAAATGGTTGTCAACTATATTAAATGATCATTTTGATCCTTCAACTCTTTAAATAGGAATTAAAATAGTCCCATCATGGAGTTATTTTGATTCCTCTTGAGGACCTGAGGGACTAAAATGATGCTTTAATATTAGTTGGGACTATTTTAGTCATTCGTTAAGAGGTAAGGGACATTTTTTTATTCTTTTTCTAGTGTAAATGTCAGCTACTATTTTTGCCAGCAATTGTGCCCCAGCCCGCTGAACTTATTTTTATGTGGCTTATTCACAGTACGGCAAAGATTATGAATATGATGCACCTGTGAAGTTGTTGGAGAAGCACCTACATGCAATGGCACAGTCACCTGATGAGCAGTTAGTGGTGGTTTCCCAGGTTCCTACGTTATCTCACTAGTACAGGGACAAATGTTCACGCTGAAATTTCATTTGCCAGTAGCAGAAAAGCATCAAGCTTGTTATCTGATGTTACGTTATGATCTAAATGACTTTTTTTCTTTTGCTCTTTTCGTTGAATTATCTCAGGTGCTTGTGGCTGATATCAATATTGGCTACGAAGATATTGTTAACACTCAGGTTGGTAGACATGTCATTGCTTTGAATGAGTGGTAGTTTAACTCTGCCAAAAGCATCGGTCAATTTCTGTTGTTATTCTCCTTAGAACTTATTGTTTGCGGCTCTAAACAAATTATCATGAGATAACAACTGTTTCAAATCTCTGTCCTGCTTTTTCAGGTTGTTGCTTTCAATGGAAAACCTGTCAAAAACCTTAAAAGCTTGGCGAATATGGTAGAAAGTTGTACTGATGAGTTCCTGCAGTTTGACTTGGAGTATGAACAGGTACCTCCTTAACTCTCAATAATGCAATCCTTCTTAGAAAGATTTTTCAATAGCATCTGAATAACCTTTTACTATTTGTAGTTGGATGTCTATTTGCTCATCATTCTTTCTTAAAGTAACATGCAGTGCTAAAAACCTAGTTTATGAATTAGGAATAATGGCATTGGCTGATCGTCATAATGGGTATCCATTAGTGATTGGCAAGAGTTTGCTTGGATATGTGCATTAGTCATTGTTTAAAATTGTGCAATGTGAGGCGCACCTTGAGGCCCACCTCAGTGCAATTCCAACAAAAAATGCCTTAAGGCTTATTGTCTCTTGCTTTTTTTGTAAAGCGTGAGCCTTAGTTTGGCTGAGACACCTTGCCTCACTGCCATGAGGTCTCTCATATATATATATATATATATATATATAGACACACACACTTAACCTAAATTCCTAAATTAAAGCTTCGAACAAATCACGCTTTCAAGTACTCCCAAGCCACAAATAGCTTCCTCTCGACTTTCTCGATCTCCAGCCTACCGTCTCCGCCATAACCACTGTCATCGTAGTCATACTATTTCAACTTGAGAGGCATTGAACTTCATATGTGATGATATAGGGGAGAGAGTTCGTTACTATGAATACTCAAATGAAAAACCCCATCAATGATGATAGTGCAGATGACTTATGAGTTATTATCATAATACTTCAACTTTCTTTAGAAACTAGATGTGCATGAGTAAGGAGCTGAGAAAAAGGTAATTTTTAGTTGAACATGATATTATATAATATTTTATGCAAGTCTAATATTTAACGTTGTTTTGCCCTTATGATGTTTGGATTTCAGTTCTATTTCAAACAATTTATAGGTTGCCACTTTACGTCTTGTGTAATTTTTGGTTTATGTGTATGTCAATTTAGTATTTCATAATTCAATAGAAAATTAATATGTTATCTTTTAACTTATTATTTAGTTATTATATTAAAAAATCACATTTAACCTTTATTTTTACTTTACATTATTTTTTGATATTAAGGCTTACGCTTTGCCTCACGGATAAAAAATGACTCTATACCCAATTGTGCAATTTTAAACTTTGGGCCATCAGTTGCTAATACTATGTGTTCAAATTCAATATAATATGTGCTTATATTTTTCTAGTTAGCAGTCTCCATTATCAGATGTGCATCTTGTGCTTTCCATGGATTTAGTTAGCCTCAAGATTTAATTAGGAGAAATCGAAAATCATGACATTTTTCCTTAGTGAGGTAAGGCGTAAGCCATGAGGCGTAAGTCTCGAAACAAAAAAAAAGTGAAATGTTAAAAAGAAATTTAAATAACTCATAAAAATGATAAAAAATGAAATAGATTATCAACATAATGTCTTGTTTAAAAATAAATGTTATAATAACACAAATATTTAGAATTAAATTCAAATCAAATTACATATGCCCTAAGGATCAAGACCTAAGCAGGCTCATTCTCACTTTAACATTCTTCTGAAGAATTCTCATAGTCTGTGTTAAAATCATATTCAAAATCTTCTTCAACTACATATTTTTTTCTTATCCCCTATAATAGTTAATATTACATTAGATATAATCTAATATAAAATAACAAATTAATAACACAATAAGTAATCAATTATATTTATGATTACCTTTAGATTTTTTTGAAACTCAAACTCTTCGTTATTTCCTCTTTTTATATATTTATGAAGTAGAAGCTGCTCCCAATTCAATATACTTTTCAATGTCAACATTGATTTATTCATTTTCATCATCGCTATAAGTCTATCCTTTAGCTTCAACTTCAAGACCTTTATTACTTCTAGGTGCTACTCATTCATCGTTAGAGTATAGTCATCAACAACTAAAGGATCTAAGTCATCTTTAATAGTTCTTTGCTTCTATAATTTGAGATGTCTATACTTTATTTTTCCTTGAGCATAACATAAATTAGTTATTAGCTTGTTCAAAAATCTTGCAGCCAATCGATTCTTTCTTTTTATATGAGCTAGCTTCTTGACATAATAATTTTTACTTATTTTTTATTTGATCTAATTAAATTTATCAAAAAAGAAAATTCAAGTTGCTCTTTCAAATGTTGTTGAATCCCCAAATCTTGCATCTAGTAGGTATCATATCCCTTGCCTGTCCCCTGTTCTTTGCTTGCACATTCGGCTCTCGCAACTACCCTTCACTCAACCTTTCGCTGCTTCCAAGACCTCATGTCAATCTAGTCTCCCCTCTCGCATACAATCTACTTGTTTACCTCAAGTTTGCACATTTTCACTAACCCTCCTCACTCGTGCATGCTTTGACATGTCTCAGCCCTCACTGTACCTATATGAGCACCCTTTCTTATCGATCTCTTGACCTTTTTGTCATGACATGAATTACTCGTCCTCTCACTACCACATTGAATGCTCGCGCATGCGTTTTCTCCTTCTCTAGTGCTCGATTACCTTTGGAGAATTTTGACACCAACAACTATCTCACAAATTTCTATAGCGAATTCCAATCGCTCTCCTACTCCGAAATTGTTGAGGTTCTTTTGTTTGCGGCAATGTCACAACATTTCAAGCTCAAAATTCTGGTAGTCTTTTGATCTCTCTCACCCTTACCTGCACCTACCACCTCTGATATCCCATGAACTTTGCCATTGATCCTAACACATAGCTCTCCTAAATCAACCCCCACTCTCTCCAATTGTTTCTTGCTTGTACTAAGCCTCACACAGCTAGCATCTCCCTTGCTCGTCAACAATAATCCTTTACTCAAAAGAAAGAGCTTTAGATTTTGTTAGCAAGACAAGAAAGTTTTGTAAGCGTTGAAAAAGAAGGGTATGATGAAGACAAACTATGATTTTTATAAAGGCCCATAAAGCTCCATCAAGAAAACTATCATCAATTGTGGTAGCTCAAAACACAGCCAAGCAAGTCCTAAAAGGTGAATGCTGGGCCGGGACACTTGGACTTTGAGTCCAAGAATCCATTGTGGAAATGTCCAAGTGGAAAGGAAATCATGTTTGATGGATAAAGCCTCATGAAGAGAATTTTGTTTAGAAGTTGTAAAGCGAGGCATTGTTAACCTTCATGTAAAAACCAAAAGAAAAAAAAAGAAGCATCACTGTCATACCTTGCCCGACGGATCCCAAAATTCTGCCGCGAAACCTGCCGAACTCCTCCAGAAATTTTGCTCAAATCCCGCTAATTTACTGCAAACGGCGCCGCTCCAGTCAATTTCCCGTGAAATCCTGCTCAAAAGCCGCGAGCTCGCCTCGATCGAGCGCCCAAATCGTCGTTAAATAGCGAGGGGGCTGCTCGACTCTTCCACGTTCGATCCCACACACGACTCTCTCCCACTGCCGAGCTCTGCTTCCGTCGCTGCTTCCACGACCGAACCCCTCTCGCACGACCCCATCTCCACTGACGATCTCCCTCCATCTTCGTCCACACCAAGCCGACGCCTTCTCCCTTCCTCTCTGACCGACCCATCCCGACCTCCTTGCTGCTCCGACCTCCTCTAGCCGAGAGAGAGAGAGAGAGAGAGAGGGAGAGAGAGAGATTTTCCCTTACCTTCCTCTCCCTTCAGTCGAACCCGTCTCCTCCCTCTGCCTTTGTCCGATCAAGCCCAAGAAGCCGCCGATCTGTCCTCTGCCCTAGCCAGAGACTTCCGCCTCCTTTGACATTCCCTCGTTGTTTCGGAAGTTACAACATTTTTAATCGGAGGCAACAACATGAGTTCGCTTGCTGTATAGGTAACTCTCTCCTTTCACGCACAACTTCGGCCAAATCCCGTGACCCCGCCGAGCCTAACCGAGAGAGAGAGAGGGAGATAGTTTAATTAGTTTAAATTAATTTTAATTAAAGTTAATTTAAATTAATTTTAATTATGATTATTTTAATTAACTATAGTTATTATAATTAATCATATTTAATTTTAATTAAGTAGTTATAATTAATCTAATTAATTATGATTAATTTAATTAGAATAAATTTAATTAATTATAATTTATAATTATTATTAATTACTATTAATTAATTATAAGTTGTTAAAATTAATTAATATTTATTAGTTATAATTAAAGCTAATTATAACTAATTATTTTAATTAATTTTAATAAA